GACCGACGCACAACACGATAACATTAGCATATTTGACGAGGAGGGGGAAATCATGGTCGGGATTGATATGGATCCTTCTCGGAGGGAAGCGCTTGAACGACGGCGGGATACGGCTGACGCAAGTAGCCGACTCAGCCGGGACCTCGAGCAGGGGTTCATGGACGATAGCGATGATGACGGGGATGATCAGGGTCATTCAAGGGTCGGTCGATGATTTGTGATCGACTATTTGTTTGTCTTGCAGTTACAGCTGGCGTTTGGGTATATGCATATTAGACAGCGGAATGAAGACTGCAGTCTATTCTTCAGATATTGTCGCATGTATCTGATAGATGTCATCAAGAACTTTCCAACTTTCCGAAGTTAACATATAGCAGAACTCGTTAGAATGTTTGATAGACAGTAGATGCCCAAGTGACCTGTCCAGCAGACGTATACAATCCCCCGAATACCGTGGCAATATCGGATCAGAAGGCTGGCTAGGGACGCTAGGGTACATACCAAATGATGTTAGATGTGCGACGAATGCTGACTCCACAACACTAGATTTATCATTTACGCGTAGGACTCTATAACCTCGCTCGGGCATTGTAGCTTTCAATGGCATTGTTTATCCTATTGACTAACGTCCGAATCTTCATTTCGATTGTCCAAAGCAATGGCCGACCCCGCACGTTTCCTGCACAATACACACGAGGTAAACGGGGAGTCGTAGGTTTATGCATCGAAACAGAATGTATGCTCCATTGGGCTTGATACTCACATATATTTACAGGTATATAGTACTTCAACTGAAGTTGATAACTTGAGTGCCATGCAGTCCACTATGGCCTTGAGCTCCTAGCTTTCAGATCAAGGTGATTTGAGGAAAGTCCAGTTTTTGAAACAAAAATTGAATCGGCTCTCAACTATTGTGAGGGTAACAGATCATGCTTGTATTGGACTATTGACAGTATCATCATGGTTCCAAGGGAGCAAGATTGCGCCTACAGGTTAAACAACTCTAAAAGGGTTAAGCTTTACTGATCGACGACGGTCCCCACCAGCTAGTCCCAAGCCAAACAATGTATGCCAACCTGACAAGCACTGAGTAGTGAGGACACTGCACTGCCACAAACATCGCTGGGCATCTGTCGTGGGTGTCAAGCAATTAACCGCATACGTGGCTTGGTAGCTCGATCATAACACTACAATCAGCTACTAACCTTCCACTTCGAACCATACAATATTTAAGAGCAAGAACCGAGTTTGAACTCGCCCAGTAACCAACGGATTGAAGAAAGAGAAATGCCATTTAGGTATCATAAGATGGGTAAGTCACTCATAAAGGTGAGCCGAACCGAAGAAATGTGCAAGAATTAATACATTCAGTCATTCGCTTCATAAAGTGATTGTGACATTTACTTCTGTCTCTGACCGTAGGCCTTGGTGACGTAGTCACCGTCCTTGACGATGAGATCCTCAGGTTTGTAGTCGTGGCGACCGGAGAAGTAGCTGTCGAGGATGGCCTTGGTGCCCTGAGCGTAACGGATCTGGGCGTCGATCGAGGTACCGGACATGTGAGGAACCATGGCGTTACCACCGCCCCAAGGGCCCTGGACGTACCGAAGAGGGTGGTCCTTGGGGGCGGGCTGAGGGTACCAGACATCACCACCGTAGCCGCGGAGGTGGCCGGACTTGACGGCCTCGGCAACGTCCTCCTTGACAACAATAGCACCACGGGCAGTGTTGACGAGCCAAGAGCCTAGAGACAGTTAGCGGATATGGCGTTCGCGAGTGGAACATGATAGCAAAACCCACCCTTCTTCATCTTGGAGATGAGTTCCTTGTTGAAGAGCCCGCGAGTGCTCTCGTGCAGGGGGCAGTTGATGGTGACAACATCGCACTGGGCGAGCATCTCCTCGAGGTTCTCAACACGACGGCAGCCAATCTCCTTCTCAACCTCGGGCCGAAGGGGCTGGTAGTCGTAGTAGAGCAGCTCCTTGCAGTCGAAGGGCTTGAGACGGCGGAGCACACGTTCACCGATACGCCCAACAGCAACGGTTCCGACGACCTTGTTCTCGAGGTCGAACTCGTTCTTGGCGACGGCAGCAACATCCCATTCACCGTTGCGGATCTGCTCGTGGGCAGGGACGAAGTTGCGCACCAGTGTCAGAATGGTCATGACAACGTGCTCGGCGACAGAGACAACATTGCAGCCAGTGACTTCGGCGACAGTGATACCGCCGTTGGTCTTGTTGGCGGCATTGAGGTCGACATGGTCTGAACCAACACCGGCAGTGACGGCGAGCTTCAGGTTCTTGGCCTTGGCCAAGCGCTCTGCGGTGAGATAACCGGGGTGGAAACTACAACAGAAGGTCAGTAATTGCGCTCCAGTGTGAAGGACTCCAGATGGGACACGAACGGGGTGGTGATGATGACTTCGGCATCGACCAGCTCCTTGTCAAAAGTGGAGTTCTCGCCCTCCTTGTCGGACGTGGTGACCAGAGTGTGGCCCTGTTCCTCGATCCATTTTCTCAAACCAAGCTCATTCTCGGTGGTACCAAGAAGGCCAGGCTGCTGTTTGGCGTGCTCACCGCCCTATTTTCATCGTCGATCAGATTCCAGGCCGTGTCATATCGTAGCAAAAAGATGTTGTTGCGGGTACTTACGTCATAGAGGACCATAAGAACCTTGCCCTGCAGATTGGCGGAGGCTGTCAGCGTTCGTGCACCAGAGATGGAACCTCCCAGCGAAGCAGCCCGGAATGGACTGCTGGTGGGAGAAAAGGTTCCTTTGGTAGAAAGAAAAGAAGTGGCAGGCCGCCGCAGCTGACGGGACAAAGAACGGATAAATACCATTTTGAATTGAAGTTGATCGAGTTAGATAGGAAGAGGAAGGATGAATTGAGTGGTGAACCTAGGATTGAGGAGGGAGTCAGCACTCTATTTAAATCATCATTGACTTTACGCCTGGAGCCAGATAGTCAATGGTTATCGGACCATAGATTCCATGGCCGAGATGGAAGCATGATGCAGGGCGGGGGGGAAGCCGGATGGCAGTGGAAGGTGGGGAATCATCCTCTTCTAATTATGGCTATTCAGGTAGAACGAAGACCCAAGAGCGAAGAATGAGGAGAGGGTGTGACATATCAAGAGACTTACCGGATTCGGTCAAGCAAAGGAATGAGCAGAGACGATGCTGATGCTGATGAAGATATTGATACAGAGAAAAGGAGCATTCAGAACTACAGGGACATGGCCCCAAATATATAGATCTCTCTGGGTCCTTTATTAGACCCATTTTTATGGCGAACAGACTGGTGTAAACTGCCCCTCTCCAATTCTCAAAACACCACTGCTACTACTCCTATGCATAGTAGAACCATATTACCACATAGTAACCATCAAGGTATCGATGGATGTGGCACTATCCATTGGGGATGAGCGGAACTCCACCAGCCAGTGGGCCGTGCCAGAGCAACCTGGTTCACTCCAGAGGTAACATGGAAGACACCTCAAGTAACAAACAATACTACTAGTAGTTTACGGACGGATCGACGGAACCCATGGGAAAGTGGGTGGGATGATCGATTATTGGGTCTCTCCGCATGCGGGACGACAAGAGAGACAGTGCGAGTGGTTGGAGTTGGAGAGAGCTTTGACAGTTGGCGCTACTCGACAAATGATAGGATCATTATCCTAGTACCCAGCAATGATTGCTTATCTGGAATATGCATGTAATACTGGCACAAGTATCCTAATTGACATTATTGTGGTGCGACCAAGGTATGCTGCTACGTCTAAGCCTGACTCGAAAGACTATGGCAGTGCGGGGTTCAACAACGTACAATAATACAACAATTCAGATTGCTCTGATAATTACAGATAATTACAGACATCAATCTGGCGATTCTTACCTGCATATCCTTGCATAGCAGCGCCGAAAAAGCGTGCCTTGACCTCTTAGTGAGGGGTTTGGCAGATGAGAGGATACTGGGTCCAGCCTCATGCAGCAAACAGCCTTAGGAGGATGATCATGCATAGTCCACAACATTAGTCTTAAAAGAGTACACGTCAATCGCGGCTTATTCTCGGCCTTAACGATGTCAGTACATCTCTACCTCTACAGGTACCCCTCTGCTCATCCTAACAAACGGATGCCCTCAATACCCACCTCCTGCTTAAGCTGAGGGGATCGGTATGGCACTATTCCCAATCGAGACAGCTGTGCAACCCCTCATCACATCCTTACCACCCCCTCGTGAGGAGAAACCCCTCATACCCCGCACGGCCTCTTCAAATTTCATAGAGGTACGGAGTACAGAGTAGAGTATCTTCTGGGTACTGAGTCCACATTAAGTCAAACCACCCGAATCTGACTCGAGAAATTGCCGCTCGAACGGATGGACAATATCTGTCAAGAGCATCCAAATCATTCCGCAAAGTACCCTTGGAGTTGGTGTCTCAAAGACCCAATGCAATGCAGTTCTTCCGTAATCTTGGCTCTCAGCCAAGCTCGGCCCATTTATCAGAGCTCCAGATCTCCAACCAAAACGTCAACGCGAAAAAATTGATGCAAGTATCTATAATACTCTCATCCGAGATATTCCCAAGTTTCATCTGAATCTACAGATCCCATCAATCAAGCAATGGGCCTCATTGTTGAGATTGAGGGTATGATACCGAATGATACCGAATTAGACCATCACAGTCAGCTCCGCGATGGATGAGGGGAACGCCTCCGCCAGCTCCCCACTGTTCCTCACTCGACCGCGCAATAGACATACGCAAGTGCGGAACATGGGCGCATAAGCAATTGTTTCGACTTGTCAATCCCGGTTATTGTCGCTGAACCAGAAAAAGCATCAGGAAAGTTCAGAATTTCTTGCAAGAAAGATTTGGTTCCGTGATGCGGCATTCGTGAGATGAATCTACTATACTTCTAATGTACAATGACAATGTCTATACTACATAGGTACCCCCGGGCAATCTCCGGAGCGATTTCAGCAGCTTGCCAGTTTAGAAAACAATATTGACCAATTTGCCTCCTTTGACAACCACTACCCGTCTCCGCTTTTCCCAGTCGTTCTTCTCTCGCAACCAGACGCGGCCCTCGTCCGTTTCCAAAATTCGACTGATAATCCAGTCTTGTTCATCAGTGACTGCGCCAGAGTCACTGGATTCCGCAGATGTTGTGGGCGACAATCGTCGAGGAATAGTCACCGTGAAGCGTAGCTTTCCATTGATCTGAACAGCTACGATCTGGCCCCCGCGTGCGGATAGAACATCAGCCTGCTCAGAGGTCAAAAGGGGAGAAGGCCACGCGCAGTCGAAGATATCTGGTACACGGGCTCCAGTGCTCGCATTCTGGTCGATGAGTGTATCGTTCAGAACCTCCCAACATTCAGAGGCCAAGGCTGGGGCCACAGGAGCGAGAAGCCGGACAAGTGAGGAGACGCAAAGGTACAAAACCTGGGGAGATGTTGGGTTTGACGATGTCAATGTGTTCGTCAACTTGGTCAGGTCGGAGATGACGGTATTCAGACCGTACGGGTTGTTTTCTATGCAGTTGGTCACAGATACGATGGTCTGATGGGTGTGCAGAAGACCGTCAGCGTCACTATCACCAAGACCCTGCAACAGGGAGGGAAGCTTGGAGGTTGCGCCGGAAGATTTCTGCAGATCATTCTGCGAAACTGTAAACGATGCCAATGCCAGGCTTTGCTTGGCATCCAGCACAAGCTTCCAGAGCCGACCAAACCAACGCTCAATGCCCACAATCTTCGTGTCATCCCACTCCAGTACCTCGCTGACAGGCGCGGAGAAAAGAACATGTGCACGGGTGGCATCGGCACCATACTGTAGCGCGCAAGACGTGGGATCCACGCCGTTGTGCTTGCTCTTCGACATTTTTTCAAAAGAGATGTTTGGGGCGACTTGGGTGCCCTTGATGAGCGGCTTGTTCGGATTGGAAAGATCAACTTCCGACGGGAGTAGGAATCGACCAGTGGACGGCTCAGTATACGTCTTTCCGTGGACCATACCCTGGGTCAGGACTGTCTTGAACGGTTCTGAAGGCCCCAAGACGTCGCCAGTCCGAGCAATCTCCGGAAACAACTCCGTCTGGGAAAGGAATTTGTAGATAAATCGAGCATACAGCAAGTGCAGGATAGCGTGCTCGACGCCGCCAATGTAGATATCGACCGGTCGCGCTGCTGAAGGAGAAAACGGCTGCTCCTTGTTGTGGGCGTCCAGAAAGCGGAGGTAGTACCAGGACGAGTCAACGAAGGTATCCATCGTGTCTGTGTCGCGCTTTGCAGGCCCGCTGCAACTTGGGCATTTTGTGTTGACCCAGTCCTGCGACGACTCGAGCGGATTGCCCTTTTTCCCTTTGAGCCAGTCATCCTCAATTTTGGGTAGTCGGACGGGAAGCTGGTCCTCCGGCACAGGCACGGGGCCACAGCTCTCACAGTGAATGATGGGAATGGGGGCTCCCCAGTAGCGCTGCCTACTGATCAGCCAGTCCCTGAGTCTCCACTGCTCTACGAAATCACCATGGCCGACTCCTTTGAGGTCGGTAACGATCTGATTCTTGGCTTCACGGGAGTGGAGGCCCTGGTATTTCCAGCATCTCGAGGTAAGGATTCCTTCTTGGGTAAATGCTTTCATGTCGTTTGGAGGTGTGACAGTCCCTGTGCTGTCGTTGTTTGGGTTAGGCGAGTGTTCCGGTTCGATAACGACTGGAATTGATTCGGAATTGGTGTTCTCTTTGAAGAACGCCAAGTCTCTAGAGTCATGACCTGGAACTCCCATAACGGCTCCCTCACCGTAGTCACTGAGGACATAAGGGGCCACAAAGATAGGCAATCTCCTCGCAATGTGAGGACTTTCCTTGTCAATGATATGCAACGGATTTGAAGCAGTCACATCCGACAGCTTGTAACCCACCTTGGAGTCCGGTGGAAGTGAAGCTGCTTCATCGAGAAATTTCCGCAAGGCCGCATCCTTCTCTGCAGCCTCAAGGACAATAGGGTGGTCCAAAGAGAGAGCGATGTATTCAACTCCGTACAAGGTATCTGGGCGTGTGGTGAAAACATTGACATGTAGACTGGCATCACCGCTCCCGTCAACAGCTACCGGGAATCTGATTTTCGCACCGTATGACTTGCCCAGCCAGTTGCGCTGCATAGTCAATACCCGCTCAGGCCAAGCCCCGGTTAAGGAGTCCAGATCCTTCAGTAACATTTCCTTGAAATCTGTGATTCGGAAGAACCATTGTTTTAACTTCAACTTTTCAACCTTTGCCCCTGAGCGCCATGAGAAACCATTGGCATCAACCTGGAGACGTTAGCCTGAAGAGGAATCTATCTCAAAGCGTAACAGTCACACCTGCTCGTTCGCAAGCACCGTCTTATCAACCGGGTCGTAATTGACGAGCGCCTCTGCCTGATAGGCAAGACCTTTCTGATACAACATCAGGAATATCCGCTGAGTGTGTTCGTAGAACTCGGGCGAGCACGTCGCCAATTCCTAGAGCCCGCATTGCAGCTGGTCAACGAGAGTCAACTAGTCTAATTGAGACGTATCCGACACATACCCGATCCCAGTCAAAAGATGTCGATATGCTGCGTAACTGCTCCTTCATCTTCGCGATATTCTGCTTCGTCCACTCGGCCGGGTCAATCCCGCGTTCGATCGCCGCATTCTCCGCCGGTAACCCGAACGCATCCCAGCCCATCGGATGGAGAACCTCATGCCCTCGCATACGATAGAACCTCGCCAATACATCGGAGATCGTGTAGACCCGTAAATGACCCATATGTAATGTCCCCGAGGGGTAGGGAAACATGGAGAGGATGTACGACTTTGGTCTGTTGCCCCGGTTTTCTTTGTTCGCGCCGTCGGGCAAGGACCGCGGTCCCTCCGCTTGCCACTTCTCCTGCCATTTTCTATCAATTGCTGGCAGGTCGAGTTTCCTGGATATCGGAGTCGCTGACGTCGTCGCAAGTCGCATGAAATTGCTTAAGACCGGGCGGTGGGCAGCGCATCTCCATCGGCCTTGTATGAAGACGGTCGGGCTGAATCGTAGTCGGGATATGGAATGCATGATCGCTTTTTGACCATCGTATGGTGCAGAGCAATTGATCACTCGGCCATTGAGGCAAATCGTATCTGACAATGGAGCTGAGATCGAAGCATGACCCAGAGTCTCATCACTGAAAGTCTGGATACTCTGTACTCCGACGATGATTTTCGGCTCCGGCAAGTTCACACCCCAAACTGGATTAGTGCCGAGCTAGCTGGTTTGGGACGGAATCCCTTGCAAATGAGGCAATCAGCTTGTATTTGTTGATCAGTTGCATGACAGGAAGTCTATCTGCTCGTCCAGAGAATTTCGGCGGTAAAGAACGCCGAATGGGCAATTCATGATCTATCTAGCATCTATATATACACGTGTGATCTGACTGAAGAATCTATATCCTGTACAACTCTATACTCGTAGTATATCACCATTGCGATCAATCCCACCCCGGAAATGATCGAGTACCACTCTTCCACTCATTATAGTCTCATCTATAATGCCCTGGACATGCTTGGGTTCAACCCGTCCATACCAAATACCCTTACCCGCCAGCGGATGAGGGGAGCCACCTGCCTTCATCCCGGGAGGAACGTACACAATCACATTTCCAGCATATTTGTGGCCACCGACATGACTGATCAGTCCAATATGGGCATGCTCGGGGCTGTCAGTAGGATTACCGTCCGCTCCGGCGGGTGAGAAACCCCGCGCACGTAAGACGCGGCTGAACTCCTTTTCAAGCATAGGTGCCATGACTCCGCAGCGCATGTCACGCCCACCATGCCCGCATATCAATACAACAGGAGAGTACTGGATGTCGATGGCACCTGGGAAACTGGACTCAAGTTCGGGCTTGCGGGTTAGTTCCGCCCGCTTGGATTCGGGGAGGGAATCTTGCATAGGATTCAGCTGTTCCGGGAGAAGAAAGGCTTGGACGAACGTTGCGAGATCTGTCTGCACATTCTGCTCCTCGGAGACGTCCACTGAGATTGAAGGAATGTATTTGAATCGGGGAAAAAGAAAGGCCGAGGCGGTAGAAGTGGAGGACGAAGAGGAAAGCGATGAGTTCGAAACCAAGACGTTATTGAACGGCTACCGAATCACTTTTTGTCAGCGCTTGTAGAACAGCAGCAAGCGAAACTTACATCTGCATAGCGCCCACCACGGCCCATCAGCTTCTTCAAGCCTCTCACTAGCTCTCCCCAGCTTTGACCCTTGCCATCGTCCTCAATGCGACTCTCCCAATCTCTCTGTCCAGTGCAGATAACGACCTGCTGGGTGTATGCTGCCATTGTTCCGTTCAATTGCTGGTCAAAGTCGATCGGGAGCCCTTCGGGCATAGCTGGTGTAGCAGGACATGAGCAGGCTGGCTCTGGACATTTCTCAGTCACAGGAAAAGGTGGCGGTATATTGAGAGGAGCACGTAGATTTGAGCGGGAAATGCGGGAAGAGAAGAACCGAGCTGGTGTTGTGGTCTTGCCGCACCCACTTATGAGTGAGCGGCAATTCGTCAATCGTGGCCTCATGAAGTATGCTGGTTTAGGTTATGCGCGAGGGTTTAATTGTAGAGGTACTTTGAGAACTTTGCAGATAAACCAGCGGATTATGACCTGATATGAGGCAAGCCAACACAAATTACAACAAGTGTGTCCGAGGCCCACTCGGAGATAACGGAGATTTCTCTTGTCTGCTCAGTCCGGCTACTAGACAAAGGACGTTGAATATTCCTTTCAATTCTCCTACAAACTTATAAATAGAAGCATATTAGGCACTCATAATTATCATTATAAAACTGTCATGCTGTCGTAACACGCTTCATACAAAGGTCATGTCAACATCACTCAACAGATATCCACTTGCTCGTGTTATCGCAATATGGCGCAGTGAGACACAGCATTAACATCATATATAGGATGAAATATCAAAACAGGAGAAATAAAAAGCTAATAGTGAATATCCTGATGTATGTTCTCAAAGCGGAGAAGCGCCAAAGAACCATGCGATCACTTGGACCCTCCTGTAAACGCAGCAAGCGCATTTGGCGAGTCAGTTAGCGGCCATAGGGCGTAATAGAAGGCAATCGCCCCTGATACAAGGAGTACATAGTACCCAACTGTCCAGCCCAGGCCCAGTTTACCATAAGCGGCGTATGCATTCTTCACATCGGAGTCTTCTTTGCCTTTACCCAAGTGCGGTCCGATGGGGGCACCTGCCTCGACCCTTCCCCACAGTCGGGGAAGTCCGCACCAGTTGCAGAAGCTGTGCGCGAGAATGACTGCCAGCAAAGATCCCGTTCGGAGATACAGGAAGGTGGCATACCAACCGAAGATGGTAGTGTAGCCAAACTGGAACACCGATCGGAACAATGCTGCAAAGATCGAAGTATCTGGATGCGTCAAGCGGAACTCATAAAAATGGTGCACATGTGCGATTCCAAAATAAAGAGGCGCCACAAAAACAATGTGGCCCGGGGTGTCCTTCGCTAGGAGATGGAGAGGTACAATGGCGGACCGAAACATAATCTCCTCGGTAATGGGACCCTGCATGTTTTGTAAGCCACAGTTGCTATGAGTTCCTGTACTCGAGTTCTACTCACAGCGACGTAATTCCGCCATCCAATCCAACCATGGAGAGTCTCGGAGATTCTGCTTCCTTTGAGCCAGTCTTTCCATTCCCCTTCGGCAATGCCACGCTCAAAAAGAGGTCCCGTAAACAGGATAGCTGTCAGAAGCCAGGCCCGGCAGATGTCCCAGAGGTTGATAGGCCACCACCCCAGAAGCCTCACAGCCTCTGGGATTGAAGCATGGTTCTTAGCTACGATCAGCCATAGAACCGCAAGAGTGCCCAGGGAACAAGACCAGGACACCGCCCTGATCCTTGCTCGAATCACAGAGGGAGCATCTCGACTGAGCGTCTGAGAGGGGCGCGTAGTTGGCGATATGTAGAATGGTGCCACGTAGAGTAAAGTTAGGAGCACCTGTAGTGGGAGTTAGTTGCACGCTTGTATAGACCATGAAATTCACCATGAAATTCACGATGAGCCTCCATCTTTGTGTTCTCTGGCAATCAACTCTCATACTGAAATGAAACACACTGCTCATTTACTTGAGATATGCATGAGGAATGAAAGCGCTAGGACCAGCGATACATACCGAGAAGAAAGCGGCTGTGTGGATCGAAATGACAGGCTCGTCTGGTGTGGGATAGTTAGAGACCAGCATGCAAATGCTGTAACGAGAGATTACCATGAGTTTTAGTATAAAGCGTTCGAAGACGCGCCAGGAGTCCAACAGGAGCCATGTCACTTAAGGCAGTGGTAGCAGTGTATCGGACTTATGCCTGATCTGCAAAAGTGTTGGACAGATTCACGTGCAAGTAAACAAGCAGTACGGAAACAGGCTGGCAATCAGAGATTACACGGGCTCGACCTTTCAGCAAAAATAGAAAGACGATGATGGTTATCCTGAGACCGTAATTGCTGAAATGTGATGCATCAGGCCAGCTTTACAGCAAGTTTGGATGTGAAGCATGAAGCGACTGTCCAACAAAGAAAAAGCAAGCCAGAAATAAGGCGAGGAGTTTTGTGCCTGATTTCAGAGGCATCCACTATTATTGTCTGACACCCACAATATAACCGAATCGGGAATACTGGATCTTCTTCCCGCCTCTCCAGCTTCTAGACCTCGACACTCTGTGCTTTCTGTATATGCATCTACGACATTGAGAAAAGATGCTGCTCCTGAACCCCGCATCATCTAGTTGGTCCTTTTTGTCCAGCTTCTGTTCTGGATTTGGATGGCCGCAGTTGATTAAGCCACTCGAAAGAGTCAAAGGGTGGCAACTCGAGGAAACTAAATCGGTAGACAAGATCCACTGGTGAGTTGGCAGCCTTACTGCATGGGACTAAATTAGTCGCTTCGAAAGTGTCATTTTGTCCTCTGAAACAGCCTCCTTATTGGACCTTTACCATCGCGAGAATGACCAAATTGCTGATTCCCCTGCCAATCAAACTTCTTGATCTTCTAGATCCTCAAATCGTCGGGGATCGAGGGAAAATCGAAGTGTTTTAGCCCAACGATTATTACGGAGTACTGAAGCTGTCAACTAGATCCACCCATGGTTCATTTCGTGGCTTTCCGTCTAATCTCATCTTGAGTCCTCGAGGTTCGAGAACTGGAAAGTCAGATCGGCTCCGTGAACTTCCCCCGTGAGATCGGCCGCGGCAAGTCTACAACGTATTATTGCCCTCGTGGAGGCTCAGACGTGACGAGTGTCTCTCGTGTACAGGAAGTCACAGACTTACAGGTGGATGTCCTGCGTCTGCATGCCCTACTCATGCTTTCTTAGAGCCAGTGGTACTCCGTACCTTGCATATATTTGCAGCCAATACTCCGTACAGAGTAATTCCATGGAGGACTGTGGAAGCTGATCATATCTGCAACCTGCAAATGCTCGAAGGTTACGAAAGTCCAGCAATACCAGTCTCCTGAAGTAATGTTCTCGACGGCTCCCCTTATCCGACCCCTATCGTCGCACTCTTGGTCCGTGTCCAACCTCAACACCGAATAGTGATCATCACCGAGCGAAATGAGTCTCAGATCGTCTAATTCAGCAAGTGAAACAATGATTCGTGCCTGTTCCTGATAATTTTACCTGAGGATCATGACGATGAGGATTATTATTAGATTCCGATGATCCGTTACCGCTCTCTTGGTTCAAGCTGACTACTTACGGAGTACCCTGAGACGAACTCGCCGCGAACCTCTTCGGTCTCCTCTATCCTTGGGGAAATTTGTGCAGTCCTCAGGTTCCAGGCGTCTATGATCACCCCTAGACGATATTACGACTAGTACTATGGAGTATTGTGTACCAATTCCGCGTACTTTCCCACAGAGGACAAACATAACAAGTATCTTGGTCCAAAAGGGCGA